GGGGAGTGGGGAGCTGCACCGGCCGTGGCTCAGCATTCGCACTCTGATATGGGAGGTGTGGAGACTAGCGAGGCCCCGGCTGCCCAAACCCTCCCAGTGGGCCAGCCTGAGCCAACTCCGGTTCAAAGCACTTCCGGGACAACCACTGAGCCCCCTCCCACTCCTGATCGTGGGAAAGAAGCCACAATCACAAACACAATCAGCAACTGAACTGATACTTGCATCGGAGGGAAGTCTTCGTGACGGCCAAGGAAGGCTTCCCCTGATGCAAAAGAAAAACTCTGAACTTCCCTGGTTGTTCTGACACTACTGACATTCTAAAAACACATGTTATTTGTGTGTGTTATCCAAACAATTAAGCCCAAGCCAGGACTGGATCAATGCGTTTCAAGGACAACCGCTGAGCCCCCTCCCTCCTGGTGGTGGGAAAGAAGCCGGCCGAGAACAGGCTGGGGAGGGGAGAACTTGACACCCCTGAAGATGCGGATGCGAGGGCCCGTTGACGCACCCACCGGCTGGACCAGTTAGGGGCTCAAAGGGAAGAGCGTTGGCGTGCCCACTTCCCATAGCACCCCCTCCAGAGACCAGCCCCGAAGGGTTCATAAGCAGAGCTTTGGATGAAGCAGGACAGAGTGAAGGGTCAACTTGCCACCTGGAGGGTGTATTTCAAGGCTTGTGAATGTGTTGTTTCTGTATCAAATAAAGACTCTTTTAATAACTGCTGAAGTGCTTGTCTCGTTTGGGAGGGGAGGCCTCACTCACGACAGCACCATTGCTGGGTTGTCTGATGCAATGTCCAAAGCCAGAACTCTAACTCCTCCATGATTAAACAACTAGAGTTTGACTCAACTCTAAGTTGTTTGTCCCTCAGCATCCAGTTCTGGACATCACATCGCATCACATCAAACAGCTCGGAATGGGCCCAGATCTTTTGACTTCCACCTGAGTACTGGATTCTGGGGACAAAGTGTAAGTTAAGAGGAAGGAACTAAGTTCAAGCAGTGGGAGATAAAAAGGCATAAGTGCATTTAGAAGTCTAAAAAATGCATATATTAATCAGAGCCCAGCTAATCTGCTATTACCAGCATGTTCTGATTAGCTTGCACAATTTAGTAATTGGAAAAAAGTACATATGAAAGCTAGATAACCAACAGAAGGCCTATAAAAAGCAGGACAATTGCACCTCAAGTGCCCCATCTAACCTGCTGTTTCAAGCTGATTTTTTATTTGTGCCAGAAGCACTATAGATACAATTGGAAAAAAGCCATACGAGGAAATAAAAGCAGTGTGCTATATGTAAAACACATATTCATAAATACCAATATACAAAGATAACACCACGGAGCCGGGGTGAGCATATCAAATATCCTTCACCCACTATCAGGGAAGCTCCTGCCTGTTGATGGGCGTAGTGCATCCAAGTGAGACTGCCCTTTGCAGGTTCATCGTAGATTTGCCAAACCCAGTCCTTCACCTATTCAGCGGTTCACAGGTTACCCAGTTCTCCTTATGTCCTGGACCTAAGCTTTCCTGAGGATCCACCCACTTTATTTATTTATTTGTTTAACATTTTTTATATGCCATCCCAATACTAAAAGTCTCTGGATGGCTTAAAACAAAAAACGAAGTGCAGAGTAGTTTTCTTGCATTCCTCACATTTTGCTTTGCTGATCTACCGTAAATCTTCAGCAGAGGAAAGGGAAGCAAGGAGAGCCAGAAGGTGGGCCTGGATTGATGGGTAGAGCCAGGTGCTTTGCTGTCCATTGACAAGGATTTCTGGCTCTTGGAACAAAGCGAGAGTTTCAGAGAAGCTTCTCCTGTACGGCAAACCCTACCACTGACATGAGGAAGGCTTGGGGTTAGCCAGAATGGAGTTTTCCGTGGAAGCATCATGAGCCGCATTCAGTTCTGGACCTCAGAATAAATTCCGGTCCTGGAATTCTTTCATGCTCGATGCAGGGCTGGCCTGACCAGGAAGCAGAGTGAGGGAGCCGTCCCCTGCAGCGGAGGCTGAGTGGTAGTGAAGCTTAGGAGGAGAAAACCACATGTGCCCCACGGCCTTCATCTCCCCCTCTGGGAATCCTCTGCTGAATCCAAGCCAGCCCTCCGGGGTTGCTTAGGAGGCTGTGCCCCTTCTTGGGCCTCACCCTGTTTCCATCAACCATGGAAGTTTTCCCATTTGGGGGAAGCTTTAGTCTTCAATCTAAAAGCTGAAGTGCCTCTCCTATGGCCATAAGAGCTGGGATGTTTGGCAATTTTGTCCTACCTGTTCTCCATTCAGCCCCATCCACCACTGGAGCACATTCCACAAGGACAGCTCTCCATGGAGCTTCACCTGCAGGCCAGAAGAGGTTCTGCACCCCATCCTGAAGGGGTGTGCTGCCCCCTGGCATGGTAACCAATGCCAGCCTTTCAAATATCTTGAAGTCAGGCTCATCTGTCAGTCCAGTAAGTTTCTGTCCCTGGAACTGGAGGGGGTACCAAGTTCTGCACGGGGCTCAAAGATGAGCTAAATAGATGACTCTTGTTCGGGGTTATTCCATGCCTCTTTTTTCAGCTGCACAAGAAGTCCCTGTGGCCCCCCATCCCCAATGTACGAGCAGTTCCCAAAGAGTTTGCCATGGTAAAACATAAAAATAAATGCAGGAGGGAAGAGTACAGGAGAGTACAGGATGTTCTCTCCCTAACCTGAGAGTTGCAATGCCCTCCCTATGAGAATAATCTTCTAGGTAGCATGTAGAGTCACCTTTGCTAAGGTGAAGAGGTGTGGACCTGCAGCTCGATGGATGGCCACATGTGGAAGTGGAGCGAGGGGTTGGACTCTGTGTCCTCATAGGCCCCTTAAAACTCCTCTCCTCTCCTCTCCTCTCTAGCAAATCCCCTGCCAGTTATATTGAAGATTCTGTATGGTATACTCAGGACAACAGCTTGTACAGCTGTCACAAAATGGGGACTCAAAAACCTCTTGCATGCACAGCAAACCCGAACATCTGCTGCAAGGGTTTGGGAACAACGGGTGCCCGAGAAAGGCCAGGTCTGCCTGATACAGGCCTTCAGAAGGGTGACATAATAATCAACTGACAAAGCAGACCCCACATGACCTGGAGACTGCAGGGTGATGCAATCAGCACTTGTGTCCCGAAAGGTAGCTACTTAGGAAAGATGGAAGGCCTGGAGATGGAGGATGGGGACCAGGAACCTACAGAGAGCTGGAAATAGATTTGGCCTGCCCTGCCCTGTGCTGAGCTGTGTGCTGGAATCGACTAGAGGGAGCCCTGTAACACTGGCTACTTTTGCTGAAGGGCACGCAGGAAGAAGTCACTGCAAAGACAGCTGAGAGAGTGACAGTGGCTGGAAGACGGTTGCTGAACCAAGACTTGGTTGGAGTGGAGCTCAGCCTTCGCTGAATCACTGCATTTAGAAGCAGTGTCTTGCTGGCTGGGACAAGTACAAGGTCCGTGTCTGGAGGGATACCTTTAAACAGAAGGAAAAAGCAGTTATTTGGCCTTTTTAAAACCCAGATGGCCTGTCAGACTAATCCCTTGTACAGCCTGGCTCTAAAATATCATTTTGATAAATCAGTTGTGCTAGATGGAGGGAAAAACACTGATGCAAAACTGCTGGAGTAAGACCAAGCTGTCTGCAGCGCACGCTCGTCTGCCTATCAACGCACCTGTGGCTGGTCATGATCCGACCATCTTTAAAAAAGGGAAGGTGGATGCGACCGGCATCGTGTGAGGGGAGACGTGGCACGGAGCACATTGATGCAGTCCTCTAAGTTGCATTTGCACTGGCATGTGCCACTCATGTACATGTACATATGTGGATGTGTACATGGATGGATAAAGGCTTTTGACTAGCCTGGCAGTCAGCCCAAAATGTAAGATTCTATAAGGCTATGAAGACTGAAAGGTGACAGTTACACCTATAGGCTCCATTTCTTTATCTCAGTTCCTCATCTGTTTCTTTTAAGAAATAAACTTGGTCTCTGTGAAAGTCCAGATTCCCAATTGCACAGAAATGCTGTTTCTACTATACAGTTTTTTACTGCACAAAATTATTATTATTATTATTATTATTATTATTATTATTATTATTATTAGAACATTTCTATGCCGCCCCTTGCCGAAGCCTCGGGGTGGCTTACAACACAATAAAATACAATACAATACAAAAATAACAATATAAAATTAAAATTAATAATATTAAATAAATAAATAAAATATGAACGATATAAAAGAAGTTATAAAAGAAAAGTTATAAAAGAAAAGAAAAGAAAAGAAAAGAAAAGAAAAGAAAAGAAAAGAAAAGAAAAGAAGTCACCCTGGCCAGATGAATAAGTGAATATTGCTAACAATTAAAATGACGTTTAAATAAAAAGGTCTTCAGTTGCTCATAAAAATGTGCTCAGTTGCTCATTAGATCAAACCCTTTATTTTATTTAAATAAAGGAGATAAGTTGATCCTGCAGAGTGACGTTTGCCCACCCCAGTGCAGCTGATCTTGGAGAATAAAAATAGTATAAAGAAATTGTCAAAAAATAGCCGCCAACTATCAAATGTTGGGAGATCCGCAGTGACTAAAAGAAAATGGTGTGTTTTTCCACAGCAGTGTTAAGCACACCTTCTCCCTAGAAACTCATTAACCCCCCAGAGATGATAAATCACTCATATTAACAGAAGCGTTTGTTAACAAACGTGCTGCAAATGTGTGCTTGCTTACAGCCCTGGGTATTTTCCACTCTTGGTTTCTCTCCCGGTTATCTGCAAAGCTGTCCCAGTGAACCAGACTTTTTTTTTTCTTTTTGAGTCATCGCTGTTTATTTGGATAACCCTTATATTGCTTTCCACTTATTGTAATCCATAAAGATAAGGCCCGAACTGTGCTTTTAAGATGTAACAAGGTGCATAAATATGTCCTTTTTTATCCCATCCTCTCAGTTGCCGCTAAGAATTGCCTGGCAAACAACCAGTTTCTTCCAGTCTGATCCCTGGAACAACATGTCGCAGAAGGAGGACAAGCTCGTTCATACTTTTAATGGCATTCCTTTTACCTCGGGATCATCACCAGAGCTTTTAAAATCCCTGGTTACCTTTGATGCCAGGGAAGAAGATGTTCTTTTGGTTTCCTATCCAAAGTCGGGTAATGTCTTGCTTGGAACTTGTCTGGAGAGAGTTCTAACCTATGTCTTATTAATTCCATCCTCAGTCGTAAAACTGTAATCTGCAGGAAGGTTGATTTTCTATTGCCTCTGGAAAGATCAATGGACTTCCTTTGGCAAATTGCGGCTTAAGCCAGGAAGTGCTTTGTAATTGCCAATATCATAATGCCTTTATACGAATCTGTCTTCAGATTGCCTTTTGAGCAAATCTGTCCTCAGGAGGGGCAAGGTGCAGAACGGGGCACCCAAAGAGATGAAGGAGCTGCAGCAGATTCCCCCATGTGGAAAGGCAATGATTTCTGGGGTGGGTTAGCTTAAAAAAATCAGGGAAGTAGGGAGATGAGATGCGAAGAGATTTTGCAATATGCATGGAGTGGAGAATGTGGAAAGGGACAGTTTTTCTTCTCCCGTGATAACGGACTCCAGAGACGTCCCAAGAAGCTGAATGCTGGGGCTTTCGGAAGAGACAGAAGGAAGGACCCCTTCATATAATGCCTGGCTGTGTATATATGGAATTTGCTTCCACAAAACGTAGCAATGGGTATCGATTTAGAAGATTTTAAAGTGGGCTTAGGGAAATCTCTGGAAGATGGGACTAGTCATGGCTGTTAATCACGATGGCTACTTGCTACTTCCAGGGCTGGAGAAGAACAGTGGGTGAGGGTCGTTGTCCCTGTGCCCAGCTTGTGGGGCTCCTCGTGGATGGGTCAGACCTTCCAGGAGGTGGGGTGACTCCCCTGCCTCAGGCAGCCGATTAGGAGAGGTGGCAAATCATTGGCTCTCCACTGGTGCCTGGGCCCTGTCTCTGGGAGCAAGGAGCCGCAGAGCACCAAAACGCTGGAAAGAGGCAGCGCCAGACTTGCAGAGTAAAGAATTGGCCGGTGGGATCTCTAGAGAGCCCCACCACCTGCTTTCCTGCTGCAGCACGTAGTTCTAGAGTTCCCTGCCAGCCCGACTTTCCTTTCTTCTCTTGGAAATGAAATTGACAAGACCCAGAGCTGCTTCTGATCTGAGCAATCCTCCCATTTCTTTGTCTTACACATAGAACATTGTGAGCTTCCCAGCTCCGCTGTTACCTTGTCCAAGCTTCTGATCTAGCAAAAAGCAGAAGGCAGTCTTATTGCTCTGAACCCGTCCTGAAAATAAGGCCACTCAAGTTGCTAGTCCTCAAGTTATATTTCTGCCTGCTTTACCGTTGGCAGGGGTGATTATTTCTGATCCTCCTCTGTATGTAGCCTCCACATTCCAGAGGATTAAGCAGCTCTCTCTCTCTTCCCCACCTCCTTTTTTCCACTCTAGGCACTCACTGGCTGGCTGAAGTCATAATGCACCTGTATGCCTCCAAAGCGGCTCTAACTTCTCCCATTGAATTTGGAGACGTTTCCAAACTGGACCAGCTGAACCGTCTGTCATGCAAGAGAATCATTCCAACTCACCTGGACGGCAACATGCTGCCTCCCTCGTTCAGGCTCCAGCAATGCAAGGTGAGGAATGCAGGCAGCTCTTTGTCCTTTCAGCGGCCATGATTGCATTAAGTAATTAGTTAAGGCACATCATATACAGCCCTTTTAAAAGAACTGCCCCATGCGCCATGACAATCCGGATGTTGCACTGCTTGGCAATATGCAAACGAGCATGTAAATTATACCCACAGGCACACCATGGCTCTTATCTCACTGTGTGATGCACCGTGTAGAAACTGGCTCCCACCACTCAACGGTCCAATATGCAGCGCACATTCTGTCCCCAGCCACACAAGGTCCTACACACCTCGCCAAATGTTCTGTGTTATATCCATTTTTCCTAAAGCTAAACAGCAGCAGCAACCAGCCTCCCCATCTAGGTTGGGACTGTGTTGCTTCAGGAGGGAACAGAACGCTTTTCGTACCACAGCAGTACCAATAAGAAATGTTTGCCCCTCTCACCAGGAGCTGCCATTAGCCCTGGGGGGAAAGCACATGCCCCTTGTTCTTGCTAGTGGATGGTTTCCACCAGGGCTAATAGCTGCTGGGGCACAGAGGGCATAGCCAGCACTGGGGGAAAGGAAAGGGGCAGGCCTTTCCTGTGGAGAAAGGTTTCCAAAACACTGCAGGTCCAGCGATGTGCAGGGTGAGCGACAGCGCTGGTACCCAGGAGCAACCTCTGCAGTCACAGCATCCCAGGAGGACCAGCTGATAAATGGCCTCGTGCCACCGTTGGCTTGCAAGGGAAGGTGGTCAAGGGAGAAGGCTGGCAAGGGAGAGAGCAGTGGAAGCCATCTCCCTCACCTGCTCCTTGCCGCCATTGCCTGTGGACCATCCATGGTCATGGAGGCTACAGAGAAGGTGCTCAGAGAGTTCCTCAGAGAGACTCTCCTCCATGAAGCGCCCTGTGGTTAGCCTTGGAAAGTAGGATCTTGCCCCAAAGGAACATGATGGTGGAAGGCCTTATCCTGGTCATGGCTGGAGCAGGGCGACAGCTCGCTGACCCAGCACTTGCTTCTGTATGGATCATCTCTTTCTCATCGTCTGATATGGGGGGGGGGGGGATGTTGGGAAGAACTTCCAGTCAGTGAAGACAAGACTATATGGGTGAACCAATGTTCCCACAAGACATTTTCCTACATCTCCATACTAGTAACTTGCTTTCTTCTTTTCTAGGCTGTCTACATTATCCGGAATCCAAAAGACATCGCTGTTTCCATGTTCCATTACTATAAAGCAAATCCGAACCTGCCTACTGTAGATTCCTGGCCAAATTTCCTAGAGATGTTTCTAACAGGAGATGGTAAGATTAAATTCCTCTTTCTTTCCCACACACATATATACACAGCTTATAAATTTTAGTGCACGTTGAAAACTTCAAGGTGCAGGTGTGATGAATTTCCTTCCCATGTACATCGGGCAAATTGGTGCAAAAAGGGCCAGAATCCACATCTTGTGCACACTGACAATCCAGCTAGATTTGAAGCTGTCTGGCAGGACTTCAGAAACAGTGCATCTTAAAGATGTAGAATGTAGTTTCCTCCAGCCTGGAGGCTGTGCTTCATAAGCCAGTGACAACTACTGCCAATTAGAATCATAGAGTTGTAGAACAGTAGAGCTGGAAGGGGCCATGAAGGCTATTGAGTCCACCCCTCTGCTGTTGCAGGACGCCACATTACGCCATCTCACTCGGATTATCTAAGCCTTAAAGAAAAGCCAGCTTTTTAGGATGAGGGACAGAAGCCCTACAAAAGCTGGGAACCACCCAACCATGGGTGTCCAAAGGAGAAGGAGTCTGGCCATCTAGAAGACCAGAACCAGCTGTCCACTTAAGGTTCTGTATCCCTGGGCTAGAAATGCAAAACTCACAGAAGGTTTGGACCGGCATACATGTGGGCACTGAGCCTTCAGCCTTACCACCTCCTGCCCTGTAACCACCGTGGTTATCTTGGACCATTCAATCCAAGTTACACTCTTTTATGATAGCCTCTTTTATGATAGCAACCTTAATCCTTTGTGGAGGGCAAGAGTGCAGCTATAAAAATTTGTTCCTGTGGAACTGGGAATCCAAAGATCAACCAAGCAAAACTAGAATCTGTGTCAATATCCATGCAAAACAAAGTGACATCACGATGAGCGCTGAGACTTGCAAGACTGACTAATTATGAGATGACCTGAGATGACCTCTTCTCCTCACCTTCCTTCTTTGCTTTTTTTCTTCCTACCTATGAACTTGTTGCGGCCTAAAGGAGATGAGTTAACAGTTGGTCGCAGGATAATAGAATAAAACAGTTTACTGTAGCCAACCTCCCAATGTTTTGGACTACAATTTGGAGTCCTCCTGATGACTGGCCATGCTGGCTGGGGCTGATGGGAGTTGAAGTCCAAAATATCTGAGGGACATGAAGTTGGGCAAGTTGGTTTATTGGTTAAATAGCAACAAAGGGAGAGAAGGTATAACATGGAGAGTGTCCAGAACGGAGGTAGGCTAGGGAGTAATTCCCCAAGATCAGTACTTGGACTGGACCTATAGGACTTGCTCATAAAGCCAGTATGGTGTGGAGAGGAGGCCAGGGAGATCCGTGTTCTAGCTTGCTCTTGGACATGCAGTTCACCAGGTGAGCTTGGGCCAGTCACTCATTCTCAGCCTCACAGGTCTCTTGATGTGAGGATCAAATGGAGAGGGGGGCTATGTAAGGTGCCTTGGGTTTCTTGCAAGAAGATATTGAATAATAATAACAACAACAGCAACAGCAACAGCAATAGCTGGAGTGAATTGGCCAAGTTTCAGAGCACCAAAGTGTCTAGGTTTGTGGATACCACAGAATTCCTTAGAGTGGTGAAAATGGAAGAGAACTGGCAGGAACTCCAGAACTATCCCTTAAAACACTGGCTGAATGGACAGCAGAATGTGAAATTGGGATTTTATCAAAGCAAGAAAAGATACTAACTTCACATATACCCTGGAGGGTCTGGAGAAGATGTTCTTGGGTTGTTTCTGATGGATCAGTCAAAATATCAGCTCACCATACAGTAACTGAAAATGGCAAATTAAATATTAGTGAGCTAAAAAAAGAGTTTGAAAGTCAACCTTCTTCTATCATAGTGCCTTTTTATTATTTATTACATTTCTGTGCTGCCCATAGCTGAAGCCCTCTGGGCAGTTGACAACTTCTAAGTCACCCATCCAGATCTCAACCAGGCCCAGCCCTGCTTAGCTTCCAAGATCAGGCAGGATCAGGCACTCCAGGCTGAGGTGGCATGGCCACATTCAAAAGGCTGCATGCACTTTGGCTCAGCCTCTTTCAAAATGGATGTTACAGAGCTCCAAAAGAGGCAGATGGGACGACCAAACACATCAAGGTGTTGGCAAAGGCGGCAGGTAGACCAGGGCAGAGTGAGGAAAGCACCCCAAGAGGCAGCCCCTGGGGGGAACAATCCTGACCAATCCAGTTTCACACCTGAGTGCAGAAGGGGGACAGGACACAACGCTGTCCTTCCATCAAGGGAGAATGAGTTGCAATAATTTGCTGAAAGCTTCCCCACCCTGGTGCCCTTCAGGACAGTTGGACTACAATCCCCATCATCCCTAGCACCATGGTAGAGAGAGGACTTGCAGCCCAGCCCAGCTGGAGGGCCCTGTGCTGGGGAAAGCTGATCTACTGAGACAACTTCAGCCAAAGCATTTCCTCTAGGGGATGATGGGACCTGTTGTTCCTTTGGCTTCCTCACTCAGTCCAAGAGGTGGAGGGAATTACTTTTCCCATACTCCAGAAAAGGGATCTGTGGGAATCATGAAATCCTTTGCGGGGAAGAGCCTTCCAATCTTTTCCCTCCCCTGTGATGTGTTTTTTGGGGTACAGTGTCCATGCAGCCACTTTTGCAGAGAGCACTCCTCTCTGAAGAGCTATCAGAGGACATTCCTCTGTTTGAAGGAAGGGTGTCCTCTCCTTGAAAGACTGCCCAGTCCAAGTCCAGCTCACAAATAAAGACCCAAACATAAAGAAAAAGCAGGGCCTTTGATGTTTCCCATCAACTGACAGTGATCAACTGGATTTCAGCCTGGGCAGAGCACCCCAGTTCTGTAATGCATTTGATTTCTGTGATGGCCATTCTTTTCCTCAGTTTGCATCAATATGTATAAATTAGATTGTGCACATTTTAGGCCAATATGCACCCTATTTCATCCTGTTCTTCTGGAGCAGTGTGAGTGATGCAGAACGCCAGAGCTTCAGCTGGGAAATGAAATCCTCTTGCTTAGAGCTAGAAACCACATGAGGGGTAGATTTAGACCCCAGCCTGAAACACCGAAGAGCCACTGCTAGGCAGTGAGTGGACAATATTCACTAAAGATGCCACCCCATCTCTTTGCTTGGCTCTTCAAATAGAGGACTGTTCTCTGTAAAATTAAGGACACCTGGCTAGATACCACACAGTGGTTATCTGCCTGAGATTATCTTTGTTCAGAGATGTTTCTCTGGAAGATTATACAGCAGCCCAAGACAAGGTCCTCTTCTGTATTTATTGCTTGTCTCTACTGTTTGATAGCCGTATTTTGGCATTCACATTTGTAGAAGTTGGGAACCTGAGGCAGCAAATGGAGAGAACAATTCAGTGACATGGGAGAAGACACGGGCTGAGAGAACACAGAGATGGAAGGATTTGAAAAAGGGCCAATTCATAAAACACCTTCATGAAACTTCTGTCTGATTCTTGAGAAGCTGCAAACATCATTTGCAACTCTTCTGGCTCTACAGAATTTGCTCGACTGATATGCTGGTGTCTCTTTACAGTTGTCTACGGATCCTGGTTCGATCATGTTTTAAGCTGGGAAAAACTCATACATGACAAAGACACCCTGTTCTTGTTTTTTGAAGATATGAAACGGGTAAATATACCTATTTATAAACAATTGGACCTTTCAAAGTAGAGTTAAAAGCATTTATCTCACCATTTGTGGTCCTAATTCCCGATCTATGTTTATCCTCTTAACAACCTTGTAAGGCAAGTGAGGTCTGAGGTTTATTTATTTATTTATTAAAACATTTCTATGCCGCCCCTTGCTGAAGCCTCGGGGCGGCTTACAACACAATACAATACAATACAAAAATAACAATATAAAATTAAAATTAACAATATAAAATAAATAAAAAAGGTTACCCATTGAGCTTTGTGGCTGAGTTGGAATTTGAACCCTGGTCAAAGACTGGCCTGGATTTGTTTGGATAGTCAAAGCTATGGTTTTCCCAGTTGTAATGTATGGCTGTGAGAGCTGGACCATAAGGAAAACTGAGCACTAGAGAAGTAACACCTTTGAATTGTGGTGGTGGAGAGGACTCCTGAGAGTCCCGTGGACCACAAAGAGATCAATCCAGTCAACCTTAAAGGAGATCAACCGTGACTGCTCTTTAGAAGGCCAGATGCTGAAGATGAGACTCAAATACTTTGGCCACCTAATGAGAAGGAAGGACTCCCTGGAGAAGAGCCTAATGCTGGGAACAATTGATGGCAAGAGAAGGAGGGGGCAGCAGAGGATGAGGTGGCTGGATGGAGTCACTGAAGCAGTGGTGTGAGCTTGAGTGGACTCTGGGGATGGTGGAGGACAGGAGAGCCTGGAGGGATGTTGTCCATGGGGTTGCAAAGAGTCAGGCACAACTTTGTGACACAACAACAACAAAGACTGGCACTGTATCACAAAGCACAGGTGAGACCATCCGTTGTTGCAGCTCCCGTGACCATCTCACCACCGTAGCCACCCACGGCTTTTGCCCTTCACCCTTTTTCTCAAGATTGCTCCCCCAAAGAGTCTTTATTTATCAGGAAAATGCTTGGTGTACGGGGGAAAAACTTAGTAATACCCAGTCACTTTTATAGCCTGCTCCATCCTGACTGGTATTAATACAATACTATATTGTAGCATATTTTATTCTCTGTATGCACAGTTTAGGATTTCTGCAAGATTTAGGCACAGGGGCTTTCTCTGTCTGGAAATTAGTGAGGGTAAAGGTACACTTCCACACCTTTAGACAAAAAAAAATAAAAAATAAAATAAAAAAAGACACCCCCCCCCAAAAGTCATACAGCTCCCAGCAAGCTGGGGCTTGGAAGACTTTTTTCCTGTAAAATGCACAGAAGTAGTAAGCACCTTATTCTGCAGCAAAACCTGGGTGGCCACATGTCTTTCTTTATGAAAAGGACAGACCTCTGAAAGGCTGTGAGAAGACAGTTCTCTAGTTGAAGCACCAAGCATGGGCTTAAAATATTTATTAGATTTATATCCCACTTTTTCCTTACAACAAGCTCAAAGTGGCTTACTCCATTCTACTCCTCCTCTTGTACTCAATACAAAAAGAGGAACCGTCCGGCAAACATCAGAATGTGTAAGGTGTGTTCCCAAAGGAAAAGTCCATTAGCATGTCTAAGGTATAAGTGGGAAGCAAGACTTGCAACGTGGATTCCTGGTCAGAGCAGGAACTTAAGCCTGAGTATTGCAGCCTTAAGCCCTTTTCATGATTCAGGTTTGTCTGCTTTGAAAAATTCAGCATCCTGCCTGATACCCAAGTGAAAAGAATGGCCTTTGCAGTGATGTTGTATATTATTGAATCTCTGCTTTCAGTGGGCTCACGGATAGGGCCTACAATGGACCATGTCTTCTATTCTTCCCGTATCTCAGGATCTTCCCACGGTCGTGAAGAAAGTCAGCACCTTCCTGGGGTTGAACACCAGTGAGAGCAGGATTAATGACATCTGCAAAAAATCTTCGTTCAGCGAGATGAAAACCAACACAGAGAAAGAAAACCACGACCCGAATCATACAGTCTGTGCACTCACGTCCAACCGCAAGCTGATTTTCCGAAAAGGTAATCCGTGCTGCACTGCCAGGTTTTCTCCTGCTACTTGGATTGGAATTTTTGCCTTTTGAAGCAGAAATGGAAACTGAGATTTGGAGGAAGTGGAACGTTTTGGCTTGTCCACACAGTTAGTTTCCAGAATATGGAATGCTCAGCTTATAACCCCATGTGAGCAGTCCTTCCTTCACTCCCAGTTGGACAGCTGGTGGGTTACAATTTCTGAGACACACGTCCCAGGACAGGATCTGGTTTCCTCGCAGGGGCAGAGTTTCCCCAGTTAACCAGCATCGCAGCCTCCCTCTTTATCTGGCCTTCCTTATCTTTCTCGTACACTCAGTATTGCAGGACAAAGTTGCTGGACTTATCTGAAACTAAATAGAGACCAGACATACTATTACTTTGTGCAAAGGGTTGCACTCATCACTGGCCTTATCTGTTGTTTTGAAGCAAAGAAAATCGTGTACCGTCCTGGCACATCAAAACTGGGTGTAAGGGTTGATTGGATGGCAGCTTGCAGAGAGGAGAAAATTTTCCGCACAAAAGTAGCAGGGATGCTTTTGACACAGGAGTCCCAAGTCCAGTTCCTGTTATCTCAAGGTACAAGGCAATCTGACTGCTAGGGCTGAAAGCAGGGCTGTGTGACTCTGCCAAGCTCCATCCACCTTTGCTTCCCATTCTTCAGTTTCCATATTTTCAAATAAAAGTGTTTTCTTAAAAGAAATAAAGTACAGAAAGGAAGAAAAATGTAAAAGAAAAATAAGAATGCGGAAGGATCGTACACAAATATAACAAATAAATTCATAACCTGCAAATTCCTCTCAAAGTCAAAAACTGCTATCTTCCTGTCAGTACTTTGTTGAAGCTTGCAAAAAAAGATAGTTATAATTCTCTGAAGCAGCAAATTTTCCAATCGCTTTGAGTCAATTATAAATCATCAACAATGTTTTTTCTTTGAAAAATCCACATTTTGTATGCATTAAAAGAAAAACATGCTACCTTGAATGCACTTTTGCAAATGCACATATTTGCAAAAAGCAATTTCCAGAAAATGAAGTGTTTTTGCTCAGTTTTTGAAATGCACACTTTCTCAATTTCTGTCCACTTTTTTGAGCTCTCTTCCTCTGTCCCCTCTCTGTATATAATCTGTCTGTCTCTTTTGCAAACCATATGACAACCTTCAAAAAGTAATGCACAGATTCATCAGCAATCTGCATTCAGGTTTGGGACATGCAAATTTGGCATGTTTGCATCAGAATTTGAGCTAATTTCTTGACTGTCACTCCTGGGATGCATTTGATTTCTGGATTGTAGAGCAGGGGCTGGTCAGTACAGAGCTGGATGGACCCGTAGTTAGACCTTGGTATAAATAGGGCAGCTCCCTACCTCTCCTTTACAGAGCACTGTATCCACTGAATTCACCTGAACCAGAATCCCCCGTTGCATTTTCAGCCATGGATGCTAAATACAGAGACATGGATGCAGGACATTGGCTTCAATTTGCCCCTCAGCTTTTGTGCAACCGGCTGCACACGCATCTGCCGGTATCCTGGCTCTCTGGCACACACATCCGGGACGCCCCCTTCCTATCTTCCCGTGAATGCACACAGGCCAAGAGGCGTGATCCTATCCCAGCCAACCTCTTGCACATTTAGTAATCGCAGCTAGTCAAAAGAGGCAGCGATAGAGGCAGTGGGCGGGATTCTGCTCCTCCGCACCACTAAGTGCTTTGAGTATTCTTGCTTTCCAGGCAGCTGCAGATGCCACCGGGTTTGGGATGTGTGAACAGAGGAGACGTGGCTGGAATGAGACTCGTGTCACTAAGATCGGACTTGCCTGGCAAGCTGGTTTTCTAGGGGCAGAGAGTTCTCCCCTTGGCATGAGGGATGGTCAAACATGAGAGCCCTGTCCACCCCTTCTGTTGCGTGTGTAGATCGTAAAGGGGGCTGATAAACGCGAGGCAACAAGGGGCCTGCTATTGTTTCCCTCTGGTCTCACACCTGGCCAATTGCCACCTCGACCAGGGCTGATGGGCGCTGCCCTCCACCAAACATTTAGAAGGCTAACACATTCCCCACACGTTTAGGACAGGGGTTCCCCCGCCCCCAACCCCTTTCTGGGTCAATGGAATTTGGAATTTCGAGCATGTGTTGTGGGTGCTCTCACAAAATGGCTGCCATGGGAAATTTGGCTCATGTTGTAATGGTAGACAAGGCTAGCCACAAAACACTCATTGAGTGGCGAGCAGACAGTTGAGACTGAAAGTAATTTCTTCAAGAACCTAATTCCAAGGCAGACTTGTAATAGCACAAGACTTTCTTTGGTAATGTATTTGCCCAATCCCTTTAATTTTTGAAAAAACTCAAGAAGTAAAATCAAAATCGTACGGGGAAGAGAGTCTAGAAGCTGCCAACAGATGTGTCGGCGGCAGCGATGGGTGAAGGAATGGTAATCCCATTCACCCGGGTGTTTTCCCTCACATTTACCACACCTATTTGCAATCTGTGTTCAATTTGCACAAATGGACAAATTGCACAAATCAAACGCCATCGATTGCAGGACATTTTGTTAGAAAATGTGTATTTTCCAAAGTTCTAAAGTGCTGAATTAAGAAGTTTTTAATGGCGCAATTGCAAACTGCTCGTTTGATTTAAAAATGTGCATAAAAAAACCCCCACACACAACTGTGTGCTTGACAACTGGCAAACGTTTTTAGAAACTATATTTTCCTGCTCACATCAGGGTTGTGATCAGAGCTTGCTCCACTGCTTCGCAAGCATTAAAAAAATCCTACATTGGAGCCCATGGGCACCACGCTGGAGACCCTGGTTTTAGTGGATGATGAGCTTGAGATCTTACGCCAAGCGATATTCTTGTTGGAAGCTGCTGGCTCTCACTGCTGAATGCATTCAACCTGCATTTCCACCATCTGCAAATTCCTTCCGGCTTTCTGCTGAGAGACAGGTGGAATCCTGTGATAATAACAGCTCTCGTGGTCTCACGGCTCTTCATTTTTCACTGTTAATTCTCTAGGTGCCATTGGGGACTGGAAGAATCATTTCACTCCCAAACAGAACCGGATGTTTGAAGAGACATTTAACAAGAAGATGGCATTCAGCGAGGTGGCAAAACATCTTGTTTATGAATGCTGATTTGAAGGCAAACAACAGAAATTGACTGTGCAGGGAAAGATCTGCTCTGGGTCAACAGATATTAAAAGGGCTTGTGCTTTTCAGTCATGTACTAGCTCTCTTCTAAAGAGGAAAATAGAACGCACACAAGCTGTTTTCTCTGGTGTGTGTGGGGGTGGCCCCTCCCACCTGCTTCTTCAAAGCTTGTGCTCCCCTCTCATCAGGCTTGCATAGAGCTTGCGTATGTAAGTAGATGGTACCATTTTGGGAATTACCGCAATACCCAATGAGATGCTTTTACTTCTGCGTATATGCTAACGTGTGCGGATTGTATTTGTGGCTGATACAAATAGAGATTTATTACTAATTCCTGATGGGATGCCTTTCCCGACCTAAATCTGCCCGGACACGATGATCAACACCTGAGGCCTCCATCCAAGTGCTACCTCCAAGGGAAGTTCAAAGAGTGGCAATAGGACTTCTCAGTGGTGGCCCCCAATTATGGGATGTTCTACCTCCTGAGCCTCCTGGTGCCCACATTGCTATCTTTTTACCACCAGGATAATTGATGACTCCTTGAATGCCAGGCAAATGGTTGGGTCATTTATATCAGTGCATTTAAACATGTTGAATATTGTTTACAGAACTGGTTTTAGCTGTTTAAATTGTTTCAAATCTTGTATATTGAAATTGTATGTTTCGCTTTCTTTTCTGTATTTGTGGTTTGTGTGCCTTATTTGTGTACTTGTTGTGAAGCAGCTGGGGAACTTCAGTTGCGGGTTGGTACAGAAATGGAATTAATAATGAAATAATAGAGAGACAATCACTTCATGAAGCCGCTAACCTGTTGTACATACACAGCGTTGATACTGGCCGAAGAGCAACCTTCTTTGACTACGCTGTAGACCAAACCATGGCCAATTGAGGCCAAATATGGGGCCCACGGAAGAGTTGCTTCATTGAGAATTTAATAATAAATGTCTTATTTCACACGATTGTCCATGTGCTTCTCTGAAGATATTGCGTCCAGGCTGGCATTTGGTCCCATTCAAACACTCCTGCAAATGCATGTTCGAATTGCAATAAGTGCATAGTTAACATATATGTATTTATACACCATACAAGAAAAGTCCAAGATATTTTGGTGGGGTGGAACAGGCAAGGAGGCCCTTCCCCATCCATTAATTAAAAGGTTTGTGACAGAGCCCTCGCCCTCGCTTTGTAGAACATTTCGACGGCTGATCCTGGGTGCTCCATGATCCCCGGAAAGGGAAGAAATATTGGCACATTTGGGTGGGTAAAATGGAAGAACCTGTGGCTGGGGATGGGTTTGCTGCAAAGAAAAGTAGGCGAAAGATTTGCTCCCGAATAAGTAAAGCCATATAGTTGCCTTGCGTAGCCTGAATAGTCTAATAAGGAAGGAACTATTACATGGGACCAACACTGCTGGTGCAAACAGAAGGTGGTTTCAGATCTCCTGGAAGATCCCTGGTTGACCTGTGGCACATCAGCCAGGACTGCTGCCTCCCAATTACTCTCAGCTCAAAATTACTCTCCTGACCAAACCTTAATGACACCCTTGAGATGAAAAGTGCCTACGGCAACCAGGGGTGGATTTCCATGCAGAAGGACTGCAGGCTCTGATCAGTTCAGTTCTCAAAGCCATTTTCACACTCAGAATAGATTCTTTAGTTTTATATTGGTTGGTGGATTTTTGTGTTCCAGCTTCAAAGTCCATCCAGCCCAGGGACTATTCAGCTCATTGGGGCATCCCATGCGAGTCCCTTGATGAGCATCCTCATAACCGTTTAACCATTCATTGTATCTCAAATTATATCCGAATGGGCACAGGAAAACATACTGCTGGACATGGCTGGTTCGCATTTCCCCATCAGTTGTGTGCCGCTTTCTAGACTGACTTCCAAGAGGGCGGCCCCTAGTGGCTGAAACGGAAGGGGACTCCAAAGTATCGAAGAGGAGCAGCTCTCAAAATCATTGCGTTTGATTCCATCCCTTCAGAGACTCTGGTCCCGTGAATACACTTGCGTGAAAGGCATCCCAATACTCCATGCAAGCCATTGCAACTGGGACCCTGCCCAAAAGCACCTCTGGGACCCACGCTGAAACTATTCTTATTTTACTACTGGTATTAACAGAATCTTTCCATGTGGAAGGCTTCTTCTTGGAACCCCTGGCATGCAGCCAGACTTGCCCTTTTCAAGGAGATTCCATTCCGCCCCCAGCAACCCATCTCCATTCTGCACCTTGGAAGAAAGCTCACTTCTGATTCTATTGTCGTTATGGGAGAAGAGGGGAAGTTCTTCCACCTTCGGATTCCTCCCTCCATCCCAAAAATGTTTTGTACTTCTGGAAACCAGGAAAGCCGATCTTCTCATTTCCGAGTGGATGGCTGCCATTTTGGCTACACAAACACGCATGCACGTAGAGAATGGCATCACTGTTATATATATAGGATTGTTCGCATCTACCCAAGAAAAGCCAAAGCCACCCGATGGGTCATTCTACTCCCTTGCTGGATCAGAGATGCCACAAGCAGAAGAGGAATAGTAGATGGACCACGTGTACTAACAGTGTCTTAGTTATTAGGAAGTCAATCCCACTGTATCTCCTCTATGAATTTATCTAGGTCAGAGGCCGTAAGTTGGCACTGTGGCAGAGTCACACCTTGTGAAGGATATAATTTCACGTGCATGAACCTACCGGCAACTATGCTCTGGCTGGATGCTGCTGGGACCAAGAGCAGCAGTGCTTAGACCTGGCTCTTCCCTGAGGTGAGTGGCCTGGGACTTACTACTACAGGTGGGGTTTACTACTCTGTTAATCAGGCCAATGAAGAAGTCTTGGCTGCTGGGAGGCCTATCCCAACCTCAGGTCCTTAAGCTACCTGTCCAAGAGACACATCCCAGAGGCCCAACACGTGAATTCCATGCTTGATCAGCCACCAGAAATAGGAAACGGAGCCATGTGAAGACACACAGTGAAAACAAGCTTTTCCAGTACTTCTTATTCTATTCATTTTCTATACTGTCCAACAGCCAAAGCTCTCTGGCTGGTTCACAATAGCAGATTTTATGCTCATAAAAAGGGGAAAATACAGTAGCTTGTAACCTTTTGTTCTTAGAACAGAAAAATGAAGCCTAATTTGACTAAGATTTCTTTTATAACATTGGTGATTTATTATCTGCCCTTATAAGAGTACAATTGTATGCATGCTGAGGCCGAAAAAAGGCCTACAATTTCCAGCATGCCCCAAACAGTAGCACTGACCGGGGACTGCTGAGGTGTAAGCCTTCCTTCTTATCTCAGCACAAACAGGATTGTACCTTAAGGGCACAATCCTGCACAAGCTCAGAGAGAGAAAAGGCCTCCAGTTCCTAGCTGGCTGGTGCATGCACTGACTTTCAGGCCCCCTTCTAGCTAAGCTTGTAGAGGAGTGTGTCTTAATAATCAACAAGAATAAATCATAAGATTTCTTTGATAGCCGTACTGTCCAATAGAGCATCTGAACAGTAGAAGTCCTTGATTTTTTAACCCCCAGAATCTACAAAATAAAACCAACATGATCACACCAGGACAGCTGGAAAAGGTATCCCATATTTCTGGAGACAACCCTCAAAACCAGCACGGGGCTCCATTTACAAGTAATTCAAGGCAATTTCTTGTGCACCTGTGCATTTACAAATGCCTGTCACACTTTGCACCATGTACAACACACTGCAATGCACCCATGGACACCTCTCCTGGCGCCTCATCCCTCCCACTCATTTTTAAAAGATTAGCCCATGTGCTTATCAGTTGTGGGTTCAAAGGAGTTGTTTACTGTGTTGAGGCGCAGACCCCAACTCTGCCTTGTACTTTGTTCTTTGGCGCACTTCCCATGGCAGCCATTTTGTGGTGGCACCCAAGGGCATTGCACAAATGTGTCCACAATTGCAAAACTGTTACCTACCCTATTCTGTACTATTCTGAGGCCAAAAAGGCAGGCCGTTGCCTAGCAGAGAGCCAAGGATGCGGGCCTGGATTGACCAAGCACCTGTCTGCACATGTTTCCTATGTCCATACGCCCAGTCTTGCCTGAAGACTGCTCTGCAAAAAAGCCAAGGGATTCCAAGGTAGAGGCTTAAGTCAATGCAGGACGGGCCAGGTATGAGTGGAAACCAACCTTTGGACACCACCAAGTAATGGGTGGCAGCGAGTTACATGCCGGCGGTACAGACTTCCCTTATTCCTGCAGGGGGCTTCATTCAAAGGATTCTTGGTTTGCATGGCCAACGGGCTCAGACCCTGCATGGCTCAGACCCTCTGCACACAGCAGGTGGACCCAAGAATCTTTTGCAAATGAAGAGACCCCCGTGTGGTACGCCTCTGAGTGCCCATCCTATTTAATCGGCCTTGTGGAAAGGAGGGGAACCTTTTCTCAGGTGATACCACTTGTGGCTGCAGGATTGAAAGCTCTTGTGCTAGATTTCAACTGCCCAAACACACACCTTGATTCAGAACTAGCGATCGGGGGAGGTGGTCGACCCAACCTTCCACCAGCATGACTTTTTTCTTCCTATATGCACAAAATTTCTTTTGAAAAGCGGCTTCCTATTATGCCCCCTCACCACAAAGGAGAGATGAGTTCTGAACCCTTCGGCTCAGTGGATTGTATGTGCTGACCCTCTGAGGGCAAAATGAGGAGATGAGAGCACTGCATCGGAAGAGCGAGCTCAAAACGGAGGGCTCCCGTGGCCCAGCACGAGGCATGAGCAGCGCCAGTAGCAGAAGTTGGGATGCAAAGGCCAAAAGGAGCAAGGCCCAGCTTGGGGATGAACCCACCCAGGGGGGTGTCAAAAACCACGCCAGCTGAGGAGCTGGCTCCATGGGACCTTGCGTTACAGCACCACAGTGGTCCACCCAGCCCAATCTTTGTTGACTGACTCACAGCAGCTTTCCAGGGTCGCCCGTCAGTTCATGGCACCCCCCAGCCCAATCCTTTAAAACAGGGGTGGGCAACCTGCTGCTTTGGCCTGCAACTGCCACGAGCCCGAACCAATGGTGAGGCAAGACTTGCGCTGCAGAGTAACACATAGGGAGGCCTCCGACTACCTCACCTTTGCTTTCAGCTCAAGCGCAAGAGCCTCTGCCCTCCAGCTGCCAGACTGCACATCCTCTCTTTCCACTGGTTGTGCTGGCTGGGATGGATGTTAGGAAGAGCCCAGTGATTTCCAGAGGTTCCCTGCCCCCATTTCAAACAGGTGCTTTGAGACTGAGCCATAGCCTCTCCTGATGTCTAATCTAGAACTCTGTGTGAGTGAGTGAGTGAGTGAGTGAGTGAGTGAGTGAGTGAGTGAGTGTGTGTGTGTGGTGGGGAGATTTGGTCTCCCCCAACCCTGTGCAGTCTGTAGACATACCTTGCTGCAGATACACAATCCCTGAGAGAGAGCCCAATGGAGAGGCTATATTCCTATTCAACAGCAAAGAGCAAGTGTGTGTGTCTAGAAAGCTACTCTCTGCAAGGAAATTCAGTTCTAAACAAAGCCCAGTCAGTTTCATCAAACTACCCCTGTATGTCATAACCTTCTGTCATTGGCACAATCATGACCACTACCTGTCTAAAAAACAACGACCCACCACCAAAATTCTCTTCCTACTAGTCCCCCCACCCCAAAAAAAACGGGCTGCTAAAAAGACAGGCCTTCCTGTGAGCATTTTTGGAAGTCCCACCGAGTAACATCGACTGCAGCTGGCTTCACTTGGTTGGCTTATGCACCAGCAAGAAAGCCCTGATGGGGTTTAAGTGCATCTTGTAAAATCCCCCCCAAATGCCCTTTGGGTTCCCAAAATATACAAAACCAAGCAATGAGTACACAACAAAAGAAATCAGCAGAGCAAACTCAAAGACTTCTTCCCCAAGAGTGGTGCCGGCATCTTCAGGGTTTACCATCATAGTTTCTTTCCTGCTGAATTCACCTTTTCCATTAGCAGGAATATGTGCTCTGCAAACTCTCGCACTGCACCACGGCCACCGTTACATTTGCAGATGTAGCTCGCGGCTTTCTGTGCGGCTGGGCAGGCGTCGGCAGGGACGGCACTCATCCCAGCTTTCTTCAGGCACTCCACATCCGTTTCTTCATTTCCTGCAGCAGGAGAAGCATCCGTGCATGTTAGATCAGGACTTAGAAAGGGTGGCGGGGAAAGGACGCCACTACTGGACTGCTGCAAGTCCAACCATTCATTTTTTACATTTCCGGGTTGCATTCCCAAGATGCTTGGGACACTCACAGCAACACACAAAAAACTTCGACTAACTATGGCATAAAGGGCTTGTGCAAGAGGACTTCCCAGTAAAATTGGGCCTAGACATGTAAGAGCCCGGCTGGATCTGACCCAAGGCTGATCCAGTGTGGGATGCTGTTCCCATAGTGACCAACCACAGGGGAGTCTAGAGCGTATTTATCTGCTATGTGAAGTGGCATTTTCTTTTACCCTCTCTGGAATTTATCGTTCAGCTTTGTTGGCTAACTAGGGGTTACGGGAGAGAGAGGAAAACCTTAGAGGCTTTCCTGACACCACGCACAATTTTATGCATCTCCATCACAGCCCTCCTGACTCACTCCTTCTGCTAAACTGAAGAGCCCCGGCTGTTCACCTCAGCCTTCAGATCATCTCAGGCGCCCTCTCCTACACCGTCCGGCTCTACAGGATCTGCTTTGAGGTGTGGTGACTAGAACTGCACACAGCATTCAGAGTACAGTCGCTTCCTAGCTTTGGATGAAGGCACCATGACATTGGCAGATTTATTCTCAATTCTTTTCCTCATGTCTTGAAGGCCTTGAAGACCGGGTTGGGGAGCATCACCGCCCGAGTTTCTTCTAGACAAGATTGGCCAAAGGCCCAGACAAACAAACCAGTTTGGATGACTCAGATTTCATCCAGAGAGCTGGTCACAGATAGCTCAGCGGATCTGTCTGTTCTGCAATACAGAGAGAGGAGCAAACCTAGGTACGCCACTTCCTTCCAGCACAGCCCCTTTTCCTTTCTCCATTTCTCAACCACGTGCAGCTTGTCGGTCACGTTGACCTCCTTGATGCATCCCAACTTCATGGCGGAAAGCATCCGGGATGAGCAGTCCCTCTCGGAGATCAGCCGCACCTGGTCAGACCAAATGACACGGGGACGAGAGCTGTGAGCCCGCCAGCAAAACAAACCGGCCAAGCTGACGCTTCAGGGAACGAAGGTAAGTAAAGCAGAGCCCTTAGAAGAAAATGCTGCGCTGTGGAAGCTCCAGTGTGCTGAACTGTCCCTTCCTATTGCAAGTGCTGCCTTCAAGGGCTGGCCAACCTAGAAACAGACGCTTGTCTGTTTTTAAAGTGCTGCTGGAGCGACACGGAAGGGCAGTGCTGGAACAGAACAATGGTCCCTCCAGTCACTACAGGGGCGAGAAACGGGTGGGGACCCGAGAAGGCCTGCTGGGGTACCCCAGAAAGCAACGCCCGCCTTCCTCTCCACCTGTCGCCCTTATGCTAAGCCCTTGCTCCCTGGTTGGAATTCCCGCTTCCGCATGTTTTGTCCCTGCTGTAGAAATTGACATGCTTTTCCTAAAACTATTTAATGGGGTAAGAACTTTAATGCGTGAATATCCTGGACTGACAGAAAGGTGAGTGAGTCCTACTTCAAATCAAGCCTGTTTCCCCTATCATCATCATCATCATCATCATCATCATCATCATCATCATCATCTTATTTCTATACCACCCTGGAACCAAAGATCTCTGGGTGGTTTACAACAATTTTGTTTTAAATTGTTTAAAATTTAAAATGTGCTTGTTGTAAACCATCCTGAGATGCTAGTAACAGAGTAATAGTAATAGTAATAAAATGGGGTAATAGAAAGAGAGAGAGAGAGAGAGAGAGAGATTTTCCCTAGAAGCAAAAATGACAAAACTGAGGGCACGCCTTGAGCAGGCAAGGCCAAGCAGGAGATGGATTGGCTCCATAAAGGAAGCCACAGCTTGGAATTTTCAAGAGCTGAAGCGGCTTGCTGCGGACAGAGGGATCTGGAGAGCCTTCATGCATGAGGCTGCCATAAGTCGGAGACAATGTCACCTAACAACAAGACGACGACTTTAAACAACCATGTGCAGGTTCTTCGGTTATTCCTGGCCATGGCCCTTTCTGCTCCTCGTCCCCTCCCTTTTACTTTGGGCCCAATCCACCATGGGAACGCCTTGCAATCAAGCAACTCCTTTATCAAAGGAGCAACAGTCATGACCTTCAAACCCCTCTAAAATGGCAAGAAGCGAAAATGTACCTCAACACCTCTCTTCTGAAGCAAGCTAATCCCCACTCCATCCCTGACGTCGTACGAAACAATCTCCTTTGCATCTTCCGAGACGTAAATGTGCCCCGTGGTGAGGCATCCATCAATGGTGCAAACCAGCAGCTTCACTTCCTTCAAGGCATCTTTGCCGAAGTACCCATACCTGGAAACAAGGATGCAGCAATTACCAACAGAAAGGGGAAACCGAGCTTGCAAATGCTGTTCCCCACAAGCATGAGCAGGGAAGGGGAAGGGCAAAACAAGGAGGGACTCTAGGCTTCATCCCAACGGGGCTGTACTAACTTAGGCTGTAAAGAAGGGGTCAACATGATGGAATTTTCTGAGCACTCGCAGGAGAGATATCAGGGAGAAGGGGCTGAGCTGTGTTTTCTACCTGTGTTCAGGGTGAATGGACTTTTCAGATGGAGGGGAGGCAGCATTCAATTGCATGGGGAACTAAAGTGGTGAGGCCCAGAAACAGCTTTCGTTACAGCCTCAGAGAGAACGAGGCCATGATGTGTATGTGTGTTTGCCTGCGACACTGCAGGTGGCACTGGACCACGGAGAGGGCTTGCTAGTCCGGACAAATGTGCACAGAGCACATGAGAGAAGAGATAGGAAGAGACGAGGTGCCTGATTTTATTTTGCTTTCCGCGACTGCAACCTGCACAAAGCCCCTGGGACTGAGCAGGCTGAAGAGCACAGGAAGACGGGGAGCTGCCTCATGTCAAGCCTTGGTTCGTGGAACCCAGTGCTGTTAACATTGACTGGCAGCAGCGGTAGCAGCACTCCAGGGTTTCAGGCAGGGTGTTTTCCTTGCCTACCTGGAGAGTCCGTGGACTGAGCCAGGTACCTTCTGCCTGCAAAGCAGGTGCTCTGACACTCAGCTGCGGGCCTCCTCCCCTGTGCAACCACACCGAGTCATTTCCCCAAAGGGGCAGAGTGCAAGCCAAGGGGACTTCAGTGCATCCTAGTGCCATGGACTGTAGGGAGACACGACCAAGGGTGAAATTCTTTGTGCATTTGGACAGGCAAATGTCTGCAGAATGTCAGGAGCCGCAGGACAGTTTCCTGTCTAAACACAGATGGGGCTGTGCCTTAAGCCACATCCCACTGCTTTCTATGAGAAGTGGTCACACTGAGCTTTAGCTTGACTTTCCCCCCGTGTTTTAAAGTAGTCCTACAAAACTTTTTAGCAGGACATGCGGTAGCACACTCTCTTACACAGTTACAATATCCTCCCATCCACTAGTCTTATTCACTGTATTTCTTTGAATAGTGTAAGCCACTTTGACATCTTTAGATGAGCAAGTTATAAATGCCTATAGAGAGAGAGATACAATGGAGCCCTCCCCCTGGCATGCTAGTTTGCTAAGTGCGGGGAAGATTTATTCATGGTGTGTGTGCGAGTGTGTGTGTCTGTCTGTGCGCGCAACAGTCAAACCTGCAAGGTATCTCAGCTGTGACCTGTGCCACTTAATTCTGCCAGATGTACCACCAGGGAGTTGCGAAGGGAGGAAATATCACAGTCCCAGACGGAGAAGAGCAGCTTTCTGTTCTTACCTCAGGACCCTTTGCTCCGCAATAGGCCAGTCGATGTCGACATCGATATCCACACTATGCTCAGCACGCATTTCGTAATAAGCCATTTTCCCACCCTGAAGAGGAAAAAAAAGACACATCAGCCACGTTTGCTGGAGAACAAGAGATGAGCATGAGAGAGAGAGAGAGAAAGATTGTAGACTGTATGACTTGGCGGGAGAGCTCTGTGTAAACACTCCGCAGGGCATGTGCCAGTATTGAAGGAGAGCAGAATTTCCTACCCAACCTTCCTTCTGGCAGCTAGTACAGTTGTCCAGCTCTCCAGAAAGGAAGGAATGGCGCTGTCTCTTATGGTTGATATCCAAAGCCCTCCTTTGAGGAGGTCTGGAAGATGACAGCTTGAATGGGAAACTGTACAGCCATTTGCTCCTGGCAGTGCCGTTTGAACAAAAAGTAGATTGCAAACAGTATCTTTGGAAGGGAATTTTCAGCAGAAAATGATACGGAGAGAATATTTAGAACCAGCATCCCCTCCTGGGTTGCAGGGAATTAAAGGACTGTCAAGGGATGACTAATCTGTATCAAGGGAATTATCATTACTCACTTGTCCCCCACCCCAGTTTCGAATCCAGCTTGGAATGCCATGAGGAACATGCAGGGGCTTAGAAAGCCGACAGCAGCACCAACCTGCAAAAGCCCCCTTTCAATCAGGGGCCTTTTAGCAAAGTAAAACGATCCGTTTTCATAGAGTTCCCCATCCCAGTCCTGCCTCCGGGGCCGCTTGGCAGGATTCAGATTTTGAGGTACAGTCACGTCGCACACTAGAGAGAAGACCGGAGGGTGGGGAGAGGCCGAAAAGGAATATGAATTTGCTTGCAAAGAGATCCACACTGTAAGTTCAATCCTGTTCTATCAAAATTTTGTGTATGTCTCCTTGAGGAGGGTCCAGCAGAGGGCAACAAGAATGATGCAGGGTTTAGAAACACTGCCCTATGAGAAGAGACGGAGAGAAGTGGGCATGTTCAGCCTTGAGAAGAGAAGGCTGAGTGGGGACATGAGATCCCTCTATAAGGACCTCAAAAACTGTCACAAAGAGGAAGGTCAGGAGCTATTCTTGCTCATGCCAGAATGTAGGACACGGAACAATCAATTCAAGTTGCGACAACCCAGATTGAGGCTGGACATCAGGAAAAGCTTCCTCACTGTCAGAGCAATACGACAGTGGAACCAGCTGCCTGGAGAGGTGGTGGGCTCTCCCACACTGGAGACATTCAAAAAAAACTGGGCAGCCATCTGAGTGGGATGGTGTAACATGGTGTTCTGCAACAGCAGAGAGTTGGACCCGATGGCCTTCATGGCCCCTTCCAACTCTGCTATTCTATGGTTCTATGATTCTATGATCTTGCAAGAAAAAAACTGCAGTTCAGTAAAAGAGCACACGCTTTGCAGGCAGAACACTGTAAGAGGAGCCTGGAGGGTTCAGCCAAAGGCCTCCCATTATCCACATTGGCCAGGTGGCTCCAGGTTAAACTCCAGGTGGTGCCACTGACAAGGCTGGGATATTCCTCCCCTCTACGCCCTTGCAGGGCTGCCACTGGCCCATATATGCATAGAGACACAAGTGGAAGGAACCCTGGAGGACATCTGGTCCAGCTCAGTGAGGGATACAACCCAGCTGAGGGATTCCATTGCTGGACTCCCTGTCTGAAGCCAGCCAAGGTGGCTTGCAAAGCTAGCAGCAGTGAGGGGGCAGAGACGTGGGAGAGGCTCTGCACAGCCTAGGAAAGCCCCAGGCAGTGGGGCCTGGAGTCACACCAGCTCCTGCCTGAAAGACTGCCAGGATCACTGGGCTATGCAGAGTGAAGCTCTTTCTTTTCCATTTGAAGGCCTTAAAGAGGTTGGGGAGCATCAGTACCTGAGTTTCTTTTAGACGAGACTGGCTAAAGATCCAGACAAACAAAGCAGTTTTGATGACTCAAGATTTTATCCAGCCTGGTCACAGAGAGCTTAGCTGACCTGTCTGTTCCACAATACAGAGAGAGGCGCTAACCTAGGTGTGCGCCTTCCTCCCAGCACTGTTTACATCTGCCGCTGTTCTAAGCAGCAACACCGCCTGGAAATGCGGGTATCCCCATACCTCCTTTTTTGATCTCGCTCCATCTAAATTGATGGCGCCGCACGACAGAGAAGACCGAGTCAAAGCCCTCCTCGTGGATCATCTTGGCCACTCCGATCAGATCGGTGGGATGCAGGCAAGGCGAGGTTGCTTGAATATTTCCCACAATGTCAACCTCTGGGGAGGAAGAACGGCATCGAGGAGACAAAGTCCTTAAAAGACTGGAAGCTTAGATTAAAACCTGCAACATCTTTCAAAATGCATAACTGCTGCCTGCATTTTTTTTAATAAAAGCAGGCAAACACGTTAAATCCTCTGCCCCTCTGACAGCCTGAAACAACTAGTTTCTTTCTTCTCACCTTCTTTGCTTTCTCTGTTTGCAGGCAAGTCACTTACAGGCTTGTTTATAAGGCCAAACTAAAAGCGGCCATGTTCCAATCAGTGCTAGAAAGAGGCGTGTGCAGCCGCTGGCTTCAATGGGCATGGTCCCCATCTTTCTCTGACCCCGCACTGCCTCCATCTGCAGGTGGGAACTTCCTCACACAGCTCTGGCAACGAGCAGAAACGCCAGTCAGACCAGAGCAGGTTAGGCCAGAAAAGTTCTATTGCGGGAGCTCTGCGGACTCGCCCTGTTCAGGAAATGAAAGTTTCTGTTTGCTTTTGGTCGTGTTGGGAGCTGCTAGTTCTTCTAGCACCCGGTAGAAATCTGTCCCACATTCTCAGCAGGCAAATGGCCTTGCATTGCTCTTCACTGCAAGGTTAGGGAGCCGGAGGTGGATCCCTGAAGTCACTTGAAGTGTGTTCCTTCACCTCTCTCTCTCTCTGCTTCCTCTCAGCAGGGGCGGTCTAGCTTTACTTTCTTGTTCGCTTTAGGAATGGGCTGATTACTAGTCAGGGCTACTGAAGAAGCTTTTGTTGTGGGCTAGGAGTGGGGGGCGGGGAGAGAACTCAGCAGACCTCCTGATCTTTTGCTGGGTGGCAAGAGAAGGATGCAGAAGGGCTCTTCCAGTTCGATGTGACAGGGGGAAGCCCAGGAAGACAAAGGTAATGGGATTGGCTCATGGCAGTGGAATACTGCACAGCTGCTGCAGAGGAAATGCAAAGCGAGAGGGTGAGGGCGAGGGAGAACCTGCATGCAAGCAACCTGGATCTGCACTGGAAGAATCTGCGGCACCAAAAGAAAGTGGGTCACTCTCCCAACAATGAGAAAAAGGTACCACCCCAATCCGAGGACCGTGGATGGACAGTCAAGGATGAGGCAACAGGGAGGCGGGTGGTAGGGGGCCGGCTCAAGAGGTCCTCAGCTGAGTCTGGGGCACAGCACTGGGCCAGGGCGGGAGGAGGAGAGGCCGCCTGCAGCCTGGGGAGGGGCCCGTACGTAGCCCTGGTGATGCTGCTGGACCCAAAGTGTCCCCAAGCTGAACGATGGGGAGAATCTCAGCTAGGCTTGCCCTGGGCCACAGCCCCTAGCCTGGCCAGTGGTTTCGGAAGCTCCTTTTGGCATGAATACGGGGCACCCACCCCTTTGCCTGCCCTGCCAACTCCTACCCCCCAGCTTTCCCATTTTAAGAATGAGCTCGCCGATTCCTCTTCTCATTCGATCTGTGGTCAAGGCATGTCTGAAATGGGCTCAGGAAAGGGCCTTCTTTGTGGCCACAACTAGGAGATGGGAACTCCATACCGATTGAGGGTCACCTCGCCTCCTCTCGGACAACCATCCACCACGCAGGGTGCACCAGGAAAATTGCGCTGACTTCTGAACTGTTCTCTGAACTGCCTCTTCCCTTTAAAGATGGTTCTTACATTTATTTATTTAGTATTTCCAAGGCTGCCTTGAGTGTTTGGTTAAAAATGGAAGGCCGGGTTTGTAAATGTTTTAGCAAACATGTCATAAATGACAATCACCATACCATCGTGATACTGAAGAAACTCCACAATGGCATCCAAAGAAGTAGAGGAATCTTTGGACACTTCGGAGCTCCTTCGGTGGACTTGTGCTCCAAAGTGCTTGGCCACTTTTTCAATTTCATCGTGGTCTGTGGAAACCCACACGCTGTTAACAGAAAGAAGCAACAACATTAGGACCTTGCCCAGACAGACAAGAAGATAAGGAGCTACTTTCTTACCTGGTACCTGTGGGATCTGTTCTAGGCGAGGGAGATGTTAACACAGAAAGTTTAAAGCATTTGATTGATATACTCTTTGGCCCATTTTCCTTCCTATCTTCAGAAAGGGGTATCAGTGATTGTGCTGCTCAGCCAAGGACTCACTGATGAGTCGCAATGGCTCTGCCTCAGTTGTCTAACCTGCAAAATGGGAAGAGCAGGGGTTGACTTCACACAACAAACTTTTTAACAGCTGATCAACTGGCTTTCTCTTGTGGGAGGGGAACCATTCCTAAGGGCCTGTGGGCAGAGAAAACTGAAGACAGGAAGAACTTCTATATCCACGGGAGTTCAATGCACCAGAGAACATCCAGCCCAATTCTGTGCACCTTCACTCAGCAGTAAACCCTACCGAAAGCAATCAGACATTTGCCTAACTTAGTGGCTACAGGATCATGCCATAAGGGGCACTGAAATTAGACTCTTCTGAAATAGTGATTATCTGATTTAGAATACATACATTCTTTCCTTCCATAAAATGTCCAAAGTAGCTAAAGAGTTAGGAACTGTGAAGAGATGGCAGTGCAACACTATTTCAATTTTCAGAACTATGTTCCTAGTCCTCATGAAAATGGACACAATTGAAAAGTTCTGAAATCACCAATTCTTAATAGTACCCTAATCTTGTCTCAGAAAGCATGTTTAACATCTGGAGTTGCTGGTGGTTCTTTAGCTAGAAATAACAACTCTGTGTTACATCACCAGGATTATTATAAGGCACCACTTCTTAACTTCAGTTCCTTTCCTATCTGCAACAAAACTGTTTCAAGACAGAGCATTTATTTGTTCATTTAAAGGATTTTTTTCCTGCCTCTCCCCAGCAAAAAAGGGCTGCCAGGGTGGCTTAAAATAATCCTGGGGTGGGGGTGGGGGTCCTGCTTCACAGACTTACAATCAAAGATGACACAGGGAGAAAAGAATCGGGAGGGGAGAGGAAAAATAAAGTAAGTGTGCAGTTCTGGGCATGTCTAAATGGAGAAGTTGTCGTTCAACTCCCAGTAGGTCTGGCTGGGGTCTCTGGGAGCTGCGGGGCTTTTTTCCGCTGGATGGCTTTGAACGGGGGCCGGGCAAAGTCTGAGAGGGTAAAGCCACGGGGGGCTATGCGCCCCGAGGGCCAAATGCTACCTCCCGTGTCGGGGCGGTATGCCTACGTGCACCACTTGCTGGGGAGCATGGGTGCGAGGGTGCTGTTGCACTCACGCCCTGCTTGTGGGTTTCTCGCTGGCAGCTGGTTGGCCTCTGTGTGAACAGAGTGCTGGGCAAGAACAGCCCTGGGTCGGATCCAGCAGGGCGCTTCCTGATGTCTTAGGAGAAGCAAGAGCTTCGAAACGAACGCGGAAGTGCTCTTTGGAAACAAAAGAACCGTCACACCATGCAGGGAAAGAGAGGGAGAAGGGGGGGGGGGGAGAATGCAAACCCGCGCATGCGCACACCTCTGAAAGACGCCCGCGTCGAGGGCTGCCCGCAGTACCCAGCCAATCAGCGGGACCCCAGCGAGGAGCTTAATGTTCTTCAGCGGGATTCCTTTGCTGCCGCCGCGAGCCAGCACCAGCGCAGCCATATGAGGAGGCGGCCGGGCAGCATCGCCCGACGGCCGGGAAGAGGCAGCCGCTAGGGAGTCCACAGGAGTCGCCGCCGCCATGGCTTTCTGAGGAAAAAGCGGGCACCGAACATTCCCTCCCTGACACGTCTAGGCCTCACCCCTCACGTACGCACGCACGGACCCCAGAGCATGCTGGGGGGTGTAGTTTTGAGCAGTCAAGAGTCTCGGCGGGGAGGAGACTGGATTGTGCCGCTGTTGCTAGGGGTTGACGGGACATGTCGTTTCTTTGGTGAAAAAAGGGAAGTGGATGTGTCCTCCCGTGGCATGCTGGGAACTGTAGTTCAACAATGAGAGGGGAAGGGATAGAGAACGATTTAGACCTCATGGCCAGTAAGGCACGCTCCTATGCAGGGTTAGATGGAAAAACAGCGCACAGCTCCCAGCGCACGCAGCTGTGTGCCTTTTCTTCCATCTCACCAATTTTCATTTTTATTTGTTTAATTTCCATACTGCCCAGCTGCCAAAGCTCTAATCATACTCATCTATTTATTCATCTATTTGTTTAATACATTTCTTATCTGTCCAGTAACTAATATTCTGCCTTCATATTAGCCTTCATTCATTTGAGCTGATTTTAACAATGCTAAATTGTAATGACCTTGAGAATCTTTGGACTGAAAAGCAGAATAAAATTAGTATAATTAATAAGGGTGCAACCCCACTTCTTTAGACATTGGAAGAAAGCTCTACAATGCTGGGAATTTTAGGAGCTTTCCACATTTAAACATGCACAGGACTGTTTTTAATTCCCTTAGTTACATGCAGTTAATGAATGAGTGGTGTTGGGAAAATTCAGATAAATCCTGGTAGGAAAGGATATTATTATTATTATTATTATTATTATTATTATTATTATAGCATTTCTATGCCGCCCCTTGCCGAAACCTCGGGGCGGCTTACAACATGATAAAATACATTGAAATACAATAGTACATAATAAATTACCATTAAATATAACAATACAAAAATACATTGATTTACAAATACAAAATTAAAATTATCAGTATAAAATAAAAATATAGGAGGAGAAAGAGAAGGAAGAAGAAGTTGCCCAGGCCAGATCATATGTTTTAACAATTGAAATGATGTTTAAATAAAAAGGTCTTTACCTGGCGCCGAAAAACCAGTAACGACGGTGCCAGGCGGACCTCTTTGGGGAGTGAATTCCATAGGTTGGGTGCCACCGCAGAGAAAGCCCTCCTCCGGGTACTTACTCTCCTAATTTCTTTCATGGAGGGTTCCCGGAGAAGGGACTCTCCTGCAGATCTCAAAGGGCGGTCGGGCATATACAGACATAAGCGCTCCTTCAGGTAGCCAGGACCCAAGCCGTTTAGGGCTTTGTAGGTCATAATCAACACCTTGAATTGGGCCCGGGCTTCAATGGGAAGCCAGTGAAGCTGATGGAGGACTGGAGTCATGTGAGCATAACGCCCCGTCCCCGTCAGCAACCTGGCAGCTCTATTTTGCACCAATTGAAGTGTTCGGACTGTCTTCAGGGGAAGCCCCACGTAAAGCGCGTTACAGAAGTCTAGGCGGGAAGTCACCAGCGCGTGTGTCACCGTCGCCAGGCAGTCGTATTCCAGTCGTGATTAATCAGCCGAAGCTGAAGGAAGGCGTTCCTCGCTACCGCTGTCACCTGAGCTTCCAAAGAAAGCTCCGGGTCGAGGAGTACTCCTAAGCTGCGGACCTTATCCCTAAGAGGGAGTGTTGCACCATTCAGGACCAGGTCAAATCCACCCTCTCCGAAACCCGATCCGCCAACCAACAGGACCTCCGTCTTGTCTGGGCTGAGTTTCAGTTTATTGGCCCTCATCCATTCCCTTACCTCGGCCAAGCACCGGTTCAGCACAGCCACTGCCTCATCTGGGTTAGTGGAGAATGAGAGGTAAAGCTGGGTATCATCAGCGTATTGATGATTCCGCAGCCCACACCTCCTGATGACCTCTCCCAGCGGTTTCATATAGATGTTAAATAGCAGAGGGGATAGAATGGAGCCCTGTGGTACCCCATGGCATAGCTGCCATGACGTAGAGACATGGTCCCCCAGCACTACCTTCTGGAATCGACCGTCGAGATAGGAGCGGAACCACTGCAAAGCAGTGCCTCCAACCCCCAATCCCGCAAGTCTATCCAGAAGGATACCATGGTCGATGGTATCGAAAGCCGCCGAGAGGTTCAGAAGAACCAACAGGGATGTACTCCCCCTGTCCTTCTCCCTGCACAGGTCGTTGTACAGGGCGACCAAGGCAGATTCAGTACTGTACCCGGGTCTGAAGCCGGACTGAAAAGGATCCAGATAATCAGTTTCCTCCAAGAGTGCTTGGAGTTGTCCCGCCACCACTCGCTCCAGCACCTTGCCCAGAAACGGGATGTTGGCCACAGGTCTATAGTTAGTGGCCATCTCTGGATCCAGTGACGCTTTCTTCAGGACCGGTCGTATTACCGCCTCCTTTAAAGGGGCAGGCACTCGACCCTCCCTCAGAGAAGCGTTAACCACTTCCAAAATCCAGGTCCCAATCCCGTGCTTGGAGTTATTTATTAACCAAGACGGGCAAGGATCCAATAGGCAAGTGGTGGGACGTACTCTTCCAAGCACCTTGTCCACATCATTGGGCCGCAATAATTGAAATTCCTCCAGTAATTTGGACCAGACGGCATTGGCGACTCCTCAGAGACCTCTGATTCATTAGTGGAGTCCAGCTCGTGACGAATCTGAGCGATTTTCTCCCTGAAATGCCTGGCAAAGTCGTCACAGCGGGCCTTTGAGGGTGGCATCGGATCTTCCTTAGGACCCAGGCGAACCAGGCCTTGCACCACTCGAAAAAGCTCCGCTGGACGGCATTGTGAGGAGGCAATGGAAGCAGAAAAAAACTTCTTTTTCGCCGCCTTCACCGCCACAGCATAGGCCCGATAGTGGGCTCTCAAGTGTGTTCGGTCAGATTCATCCCGTGATTTCCTTATATGCACCTCTGAGTTATAAAATCAAACCTGCACCCTTTTCTCAGAAGGCACCAGCATTCCAAGCCAGTGCTGCTGTTTTTTTAAGAAGATGGAATTCTTGACTGAGAAGCTGCTGTAGGCTGACACTATTAGTGAGGAAATACCTGTGTTCTCATTAGCTGCAGAAAAGCTGAGCCAAAGGTGCCCATTTGGTTCTGAATGGATCCACTTAAGCATCTAGCCCCACAGAGGCAAGCGCCAGCACAGTGTAGTTGTCAAACCAGATTTCCTGAATGGTTCCTCCATCAGACACATTTGCACGATCGAACAGGATCCAAACTGCAAAGAGGTCTACTCAATTGACAGGTCAATTCAGCAATCAGTAATGTTGTCCATACTATTGTTACCAGTATTTCCGATCGGTTTAGAACAGTATGTCATGCCTAAAAACATCAGGATACTATTGTACTTTGATTATCTGGAAATGTAACACTCTGTATTGATGTATGTGACTAGCAGGTTATAAAAGTGTCTGTACATGGGCTGTGATTTTATAGTTCGTGGTGAGAATCACTACCCAGGAGCATGCAGGGATCCTGGGTGATCTTTCAATAAAACTACTGAACTTTAAAGCAAAAGGGGTCTTTCCAGACTGAACTTGGTCATCCTTATTGCGGCTGCCGTCAAGGCATTCTCAACAGTGGCAAGACCATGCAAGACTGTGTGACTCTCTTAAGCTTACTTTGGGCCCAGCCTTTTGTTACATGTCCGCCAGACGATACACCATTATTATTATTATTATTATTATTATTATTATTATTAAACATTTCTATGCCGCCCCTTGCCGAAGCCTCGGGGCGGCTTACAACACAATAAAATACATTGAAATACAATAGCACATAATAGCATTGGCAATTGACGTTGTTCGCATGCTCACTGCTAACCCTGGGTTAAACAGCCCATAGTTGGCTGAAGCTGTATGGCAGTTCACACATGACAGAGAGCAGTGTTGCCACTTCTGCTTTCTGCCTGGGTTGCAAAAGGCCATTTTGGTTGGTCCTAGTAAAGGTATTGCCAGGCACTGGTTTCTGAATTGTTAAATTCATGGATGAGTCTTATTTAGTGATTTAGTGATTTTGTTTTTTGTTCTTACTGGCACTAGAGATGCATTACTAGTTTCTTACGGTTTTCCACATCTGGCCTTCCTTCAAGTGAGCGTGTGTGCAGGCATGTGCACACGCGTCTGAGTGTGCGAGTGCGTAGAAGGCTGATTTATGGATTACCCATTGAATTTTGCCTATTCATTCAAAATGCACCAAGGCATGGGGACTGTAACTGGCTTTTGAACAGGGCTATAAGTCCAGGTCCTTGGTAAGCATTTAGTACAAGTCTGCAGCAGAGCTCTTCCTGATCCGAGGGAAGAGAGTGAAAACGGGAACCTGGTTATGGGATGTCGCTCAAGGAACCAGCTCAGACTTGCGCCAGCATGTCACGACATGACATTATGGACAAGGTGGCATTGCATTTTCTTCCCCACATGAGGCAGGTGTTGTTTTTGCGCATAAGAGTGTTGAGAGCAATTCTGCCCCCAGGAAGGCACGAAGTGAGCCCATCTTATCCTGGTTCTTTTGCTTCTGCACTAATTTTTAATTCCAGCAGAGTGCAGCCTGGTCATATGGGTGTCCTCGTGGTATTCTGTCTCTCTCATTCTCTCTCTCTTTCCTAAGAAAAGAAGTCCACTGAAGAGGGCTTCTTTGGGGATACCTCCTAAGGCAAACTCTCCCAACCTGACACCTGGCAGGGGACTACATTTATTTATTTATTATTTATTTATTAAAACATTTCTATGCCGCCCCTTGCTGAAGCCTCGGGGCGGCTTGCAACACAATAAAACACAAAAATAACAATATAAAATTAAAATTAACAACATAAAAGAAATAAACAATATAAAAGAAGTCACCCTGGCCAATAAAAGAAGTCGCCCTGGCCATCTCTTCTGCTGAGCTTCAGGTTGGGAGAGGTTACCATAAGGGCATCAGACTGACCTAAAAGCAAAAGGGCAGGTGCAAAATGGCAACGTATTTTAACTTAATGCCTGACTCCCAATTGCAGCTTTAGGAGAGGAATTTCAACTTGCTAGAATAGGGAAGAAGAGAAGATGAGCCATTCC